TACTCCAACCTACCAATGTAGTGTACTAATAAAACAGTTCAAGTAGTAACCAGTAGATTCCATGATCCATAAATTAGGAACGAATATATTTTCCAATTAAAAGAAGTAATCAGAAAGCACATATCAGGTAGTCATAGTTCATAAACAGTAAACCAATACATCATTAAATAATAATATTGAACAATTAAAAGATTCAGTAAAACAGTAACTTCAATAAATCACATTTCAGTACAGATAAAATAATAATATAGCATATAGGAAACACATTAAAGGATTCGGTGATTTTCCAGAGTTACTTGGTATTAATCAAGTAGGGAACCAAGAAACTTTTATAAATTGATAAGATTCTAGAAATAAGATCCTTATAAAAGGGTTTAATACAGAATCTTTTACATCAGAGTTGCTAGAGATTTTAGACTTTTTGGTTTCTTGAAGAAATCTTAGTAATTTAACCCAATGAGAGTGAAACAACAATTAATTATTTAGGATTTATATTGAATTACTAGGATTTTGAGTCAAATTAAACTATCCAATCCCAACACTGCGATACTTGCCAATCATTCAAACCAAGTTACTATACCTTTATTCACTTAATACTGATTGCTCTGTTTGAACTGATCGCTTTCAGAATCATCATTGAATGAATCTTAAGGAGACGAACAGGTAACCCAATGATATTTATTTTATTTTTGTATTGCAATGGTATCAAGAAATGTTGACGTGGTTGATTCTAGGTTCCTAACCCTTAAGTACGGTACAATATATAAGTTCATCAGTGTTTCCAGAGTTTACCCCGATCATTTCGGAGTTTCCTTATTAATTCAGTCGTTTCAACGATTCGAATTCGTACATTACTCCCATTCAATTCAACTTTTTCATATAATATAGTCAGTTTACACTTCAGGGGTATTTTGGTCATTTTCTCTAATTAGCCTTTCTATTTAATTCAATTTCCTAAACAATTCAAACATAAATAATACTCCCAATGTTTTAGTCTTTAGTTATTTATTGATAAATCAATAATTCTAAGTCTTATATCTTCTCGGATCTTAGGATCTGATTAACAATAATATTACGAACAGATCAAGAATTTAACAGATGAATCTATAGTTTGTCAAATTAAATTCGAATTCTCATAGTACTTTCACTATCAGGGTCAGTCCGAACCATTTTTACCTCATACGTGTAATTTAATAATTTATTAACGAGGTGATTCCGATATTAAAACTTTAACAAAAATAATTAGAATTTAAAGATTATGAGGTTGATCTCTTTATCGGTTAATCATTGAACCTAAAATTATTTCTTATCAGACTTCTAGTGTATTATACGTGTAATTTGAGTCTTATTCAATTTAATTACTTTTCATCGCATTTGGATTGAGTTTAGAAATATATTAATCACACACATGTATCCAAACATATTCATCTATGCATTAACCAATGACAACATATTTCATAAAGCATACAAAAGGTACTAATGTATTACCTCGATTCTTGAGCTATAACGGTTAACTAATTAAACTTCATTTGATTACCCTCGAACTTTAATTCCACGTCCCATAATGTCTTAGATACATGGTAAAACCAATTACATTAGAAACATAACTTAAACGTGAAAATTCATATTGAATCAGGAGATAAAAGCCAAAAAATAGCTTATATGGATTGAATATGGGGAACGAACTTCGGATTCAGACTGAGGACGTCGAAAAACATAAAATATGACTTTTCAAAAAAATAACTTTTTGGTCAAAGTCAACGGTAAAAGTTAACAGTCAAAGTCAATAGGTTGACTCGGACAAGTTAACCCAGATAAGTTGACTCGGATGAGTAGACTCAGGCAAGTTGACTCGGTTCAAACCAATTTTATTGGACCAGTTTGGTCTGACTGGGCCGGTACCAAAAACCTCTTGGACCAACAGATGAGCCCCACGCGTAGGCGAAAGTACCTGATAGCTCGTACAACAGTGATAGGGCCGAGAGAAAATGGTCGATTACTTCCAGAGCATTCTTACACTAAAAAAACCAAATCAACTCAAAAATCAAACCACAATCAAGTCAAACTCAATTAAAATGAATGAGCAAGGATCAAAATTGCTTACCCATCGTCGAACGGACAAAACAACGATGATGGCAATCCACCGATTGGGTCTTAACCAGAATTGCATGTTGAGTTCAATGATGCAGGCAATGTTGTTCTTAGGCCACAGATGTGGCCGAAATCGATGATTTTCAGCGGTGAAAGTTTGGTTTTTTACGCAACTTTGAATCGTTTTCCACTGTAAACGACGATGTTTCTCAACAAGGTGGCAGACAGGTTTTGTTTGTAGGTCATCGGTGAACACGACGGTGGTGGTGGTGACAACCATGACAGTCGGACGGAGGTGAATCGAAGGTAGCGGTATGGGTGAAAGGTAAAGAGTTTGGCTTGGTGTTTCAAGGGGAGAGGTTGTTTGATTTTCAAGGGGGGAGAGGGAGACTAAAACGTTGGGCTGATATATTAGAAATATATCAGATATTTCTGCAATAAACTATTAATAGGAACCTAGTCTAGTGGGCTAGGGCATGGGTACCCATGACCCTAGTGTCACGAGTTCAAGCCCCCTCGGACACCAAATCCCCATTTTTTCAACTGAAAAGAAAAATAGGATAATTTAAGGTTAAGTCCTTGAACTTCATACCAGTTCAAAAAATGAGCTACAAACTTTTGAAAATTTGTAATTTGTTCCTCTAATTTCTTTTAATTAAATTTTTGGGGTGTTATAGCTCGATGAAAGGGAAAATCAAAGATAGAGGGTTAGGGATTCAACCTGGTGAACTAGGGATTTTGTCTGAGCAAAGAGAACACGTTCGTACATGAAGTAAAAGATCACAAAGTTAATTATGACCATTCCCAATCGACTCTAGCCCAATCTCCAATTAAAGAACGTTGAATTATTTAGAGTAAGGATATACAACTGACATCATTTTGATTTTAGAATTGTACTCTGTAAACAAATAAAAAACGGTGTACCTAAGTCATATATTCTCAATTAGAAGTTTATGAATGAATTTCCTTATTCTAATTTCCATTTCTTCTTCGTTTCTTTTCTAAAATCCCAAATCAATATTAGTTCCTAACATCATACCCCCCAATGATAATAAATGTGCATGAATTTGAGTGAATACATTAATTTAATTTATTAAAAATATTAAAACATGTCATATTCTAGAATCAAATATATAAATACGGTAATCAGATATCATGCTAAAAACATTCGGTAATTTAGATATCATGCAATCGGAATATAAAATTGAAATTTTTAAATAATTCAAACAAATAGTTCAAAATAACACTATAAACCCAATAGAAACACACATGTATCGATATGAAAAGTCTAGGATGATAGCCTACTCTCAAGTCTGCCTATCACGATCAACGACAATGCTAGATCGAACAAATCGGAATAATTGAATCATATTCTTAATAAAATAAGTAATAAACTTTAATTCAACTATTTATAGAAACCTACGAGTCGCTCTCGAAGTACATAGACCATAATGATCTAATGGGCTAGAAGTATCGGATCTAATTGACCCTCGATCAGGGGACTCACGAGGGCCTTCATGAAAATATAAACCCAGATCAATTCTATAATTAAATCTCATATAAATAAACATAAATGCTAAAAATACAAAGCATTTTCGGTTTAACGGGATCAATTCAGGGCTCGATTCAAAATTTGACGAAATGGACCGCAAAATCGAACTCGATACATCATAAAACATATAGAGGAAGGTTTTTGAAAAGAGTCAATGTCGTTTAATAATCAACGGCGGTGATTAACGGTTATCGGTGGTGGTCAAAAGATCAGGTCGGCTCGACGCAGCTCGGGTCGGCTTGGGATGATTCAATTGGATCGATATAATTTGGGGTTTAGGCCAGACGAGTCAGGTACAGGTCAAGTCAACTTGTCAGGTTGACCCGTTTCCAAGTGGTCCACTAGGCGGTGGACGATCCCCACGTGCAGCAACAGCGCGTGGGGGCTCGTGCAGTGGTGTTTGGTGACGAAAAATTTTGGAAAAATTCTAAAAATTATTTTAAAGGATTTTGAGACACTTACCTAGCTCGATTCACAACGATGAACGGTAGAGAGCTTGATTCGATAACGTCGAAAACTTCCTATTGCTCACCCCTCCACACGTCGGCGACTTTGACGACGAGGTGAACTCCGGTGGACTTAAGATGACGCATGAAATCCAATGGTGCAGGCGGTGACAAAATTGAAACAACGATCGGCGGTGAAACGACGATGAAAGATTTTGGCCAAAGGTTTCCTAATAAGGAAGATTGAAAAGAGAGATGAAGGGTTTTTATGTTTCCAGAAATGGAAAAAATAAGATTTGGGAAGCTTTTAAACTTACCCAAAAAGAAAAATGGAAAAATCATGCCATTGGTCCTCCAACTTTGGTTACTTCTTGATTTGGACCCATATTTAATTAAAAATTCATTTTGGTCCCTAAATGTAACCGAATTTTAATTTAGTCGTTGAAATTAAAACTAAAAAAGATTAAGCCCTAATTTGGGGTGTGACAGAATGATTCAAGAAAAGATTGGGTAGAGGTTTCAAACAATTTTATCAAATTGATACCAAGAAACCTTTGTACCAGTAACAAAATTGAATATTGTTCATATATTATTATTTCTAGCTTAAATTGAAGATTGGCCCCTCTTCTAGTTTAACATTTAAAACGCCTTCTTAAATTAAGATTTTGAAGAATATGACTACATGAAATTTTCCAGGCTTGGAAAAATACTCTAACAGTCATATGCAAATTGAAAGAATCTTGGAATAGCTTGAACCAGTAACTTGGTTTGATAGGTTTATCAAAGCTTTGGTCAGAAATGGATACAGTGTCAGTTTGATCACACACTCTTCTTGATGATGTCTCCAGAAAAGAAGTCTATTCTTATAGTGTACTTGGATGATATCATCATAACTAGTGATAACACTAAAGAAAACAGTAAATTAAAGGGTCTTTCGGCTACTGAATTTGAAACTATAGACTTTGGTCACTCAAATATTTTATGGAAATGGAGGTAGCTAGATCAAAAATCAGAATCGTTATCTCTCAAAGAAAGTACATAATGGATTTACTCACTAAAACCAGTATCTTGAGATGCAAGCCAGCCAAGACTTCTATGGATACTAACTTAAAATTAAGGATGAGATGAGAATTCTGGTAGAAAAAATGAGAATTGCAAGACTATAATTTTTTTTCTGATGCTAGTTGGGCAGGAGAGTTATCCGAAAGAAGATGTATCAGTGGTTACAGTTCATTTGTCTGGGAAATTTCGGTTACTAGGAAAAGTAAAAAACAACTTGTGGTGTCAAGAAGCAGTGTTGAAGTATTCGAGCACTAGCACTAGAAATTTTTGAAGGAATGTGAATACAAAGATTGTTGAAAGAATTGGAATTGGACTTCAATGGACAGTTCGAGGTACAAAGCGACAATCAATCTGCCATCAACATTGCCAAGAATCTTGTCCACCATGATAGAACTAAACATGTGAAAATTGATAGACACTTCATTTCAGACAAGTTCAATAATAATTCAGTTAAATTAAACTGCGTCCCTACTCAAAAACAGCTTGTAGATGTCCTCACCAATGCCCTTCCAAGAACAAACTTTGATGAGCTCATATCGCAATTGAGACTACAATATATACTGACCAACTTGAGAAGTAGTGTATAAATTGTAGCCAAGTAAATTTGTGTTTGATTGTTATTTAATTATTAAAGTTCTATTTTATATTTTGTACTACGCATATTATCTATTTAAGAGATTATATAAGGCCTAACCTATGTAGTCATTTTCAAAGAGAAAAGTTACAGAGAATACATTCTCTTTTCTGTTCCAACCGTCTTCTCTATTTTCTACACTAAGTGCACTATACGCACTATGATTTCAGTAATAGCCCGAGGGAAAAAAATAAGGGCTCGCCAGATTAAATAAGGTGCATATATAAAAAATATAATAATTTGTTCACTGATTTACCACAAAACAAAACGTGACATGCAATTAAAAATTGACACTAACTAAATTATCACTTCCATAATCTCTCGAATGATTTATCTTGCAATGAGATTAAGGGTTAGTTCCATTGTTTAGGGTTTAAGATTTATAGAAAGAAATAAAGAAACAACCGACCCTATCAATATCATGTTCAAACTTCAGCTCCTTTTAAGTAATCGTTTCTCTTTTCCGTATTTTCTCAGTAAATTCTTTTTCTCCGTCATAGTTCCTCTTTTTTCTCTCTTTAGACAGTAATTTTTCTACCCTTCTTTTTATCTTCAAGCTGTCTTTTTTTGGTTTTTTATTGCCATGACAAAATAACTTTTTCATTACTGCCCATTCTTCGACCAAAAAGTGGTGTATTTGGATGCATATATATGAAATACAAATAAGGAGAAGACTAATTTGTCACTATTTAAAAAAATTGTCAGATGCTTCCTAAATTTCTAATGGCATACATCATCGTTGTATAATCACCGTTATTTATATGAAAATTTAATACCACTATGATATTTTATAATAATAAATATACTTATAAAAATGGTATTTGATAGTATCATGTCAAATTTTGTAGTAACTCCGCATGCTATGCTTTGTGTGTTTATTATTTGTCATGTCTGCATTGTATATTGTATATTGTATATTGTATATTGTAAATACATGCTCCTTTTCTTAACAGTTAACACAAATATTTTCAGTTGTTTTATATTGATAGAAATGGAAAATGAGAATACTAGAATATCTAATTTAGGCTGAAATCACGCTTATTTAACTTATCCTAAAGTCACAAATAATGTCAACTATCAAATAATTCGATTACTAATGTTAAGTTCTTAATATTTTGATAAAACCGAATAAACTTCTCCCAAGATTCATACCAAAAAGAGAAATAGGCTCACAAAATCCCGACTAAATTATTTGGTTAAGTAAAGTAAAATCGAGCATTGGTTCCACAATGCAAGTTGCATGATAAAATTAGCCCAATAACTGAACGACATTGATGACAACAATGATTAGTTGATTGGGGAAAAGGAATATGCTCAAGAGAAGTTTATATTCAAAAAGGATGAAGGTCTTTCTTAGGGACACGTTGTGACTGTTTCTAGAGTTCATGAAGAGCGGTTTAACTTGAGATCATGAGAGAGCACACAAAGAGGAAGATATGATAGTTCAAGGCAGTCTCTAAGACAAGAAGATGAAAATGAAAATGAAAATGAAAATAAAGATGAGAAATACAACAAATGCTACCACTCATTTGATGGAGATGATATGGAGGAAGCAAATTTGGCAGAGGAAAACGATCACATATGATATCATAAATCTTTTAAAAGTTATTGTATAGCTAACTTTGTCTATTTACAATATGAATGCTTCATATTGCAAGATAAAATGCAAGGTTATATACTTTTTTATTGGAGAGTTAAAGGTAATTAATGAAATGTAGAACTTTTTTGAACTATTATATGATTTAATGGTCTATTTTAATAAGTTATATACACATATTAGTAAGTAAATCTTTAATACTCAAAAAGTGCACTCCACGTCAATAAGGCGCACATCTCATGCCTGCACCTTGTTCTTAGATTATAGGACTCCAAACGCCTTAATGTGCCTTGCGTCTTTTTTTACATTGGTTGCAATGTGTCTCCAAGCAAAGTATTCATCCTCTTTGAATATAAACTCTTCTTATGTATCTTTTTTTGTCCTTTTAGTCAATCATATATTGATTTCACCAATATCTTTCAAAGTTATTTGGCCAATTTTATCATGCAACTTGTATTGTTAAACCAATACTTAATTGTACTTGACAAACATCAAGTCATTTAGACGGGATTATATGAGTATATTTCTCTTTATTGTATCGATATGTGAGAGAAGTTTATTTACTTTATAATGAAAAAGAACTTGACAATGCTAATTGAATGATTTATTAGTTGACATCATTTGATACCTTAAGATCAACTAAATTACCGTGATTTCAACTTAAACCAGACCTTTGTTATGATCAAACCAGAAAACCCAGAGAATATAAAGAATGGGGAGAGGAAATTGAAAGTAGATTAAAGTTGGAAAAATAAAATCCAAGGATTACAGATCCCTTCACGTTTTACATGCTCCTTTATTTATGTTTTTAAATCCTCAGTAGCGGACAAAATCAGTTAATGCCTAAGGTGCCTTTCTCTCTCTCAAACTTCTGCAAATTTATCGGGTGTCCTTGGTTACTGCTTCTACATTGTCAGCTCCTCCTGGATAATCATTCTCATTCCTTGATGTTCCTATCTCATCTCCTTCCATGACAGTACCCCCATCTGAAAGAAGGACCTTGTCCTCAAGGTTCTCAATTGGTGCAGTGGAACAAAGTCCTCTGTTATCAAAGGCAAAGGAGTGATTTGTTGAAGAGGTTGGCCCTTACAAGGTTTGAGTTGGGACAAATGAAATATTGGATGGATGCAAGAGGAATTTGGGATTTCTAGCTTGAAAGAGATAGGTCCAATGTGTTTTATAACTCGATAAGGGCCAAAGAATCGTGGACCAAGCTTCTAATTTTTCCGTAGTCGTAATGACAATTGTCTATAAGGTTGTAAGCACACAAAATCCCAACTACCTCCCGCTAATTCTAGTTCGCTTCGATGCTTATCCGTCTGAGTTTTATACGTCCATGTGCTTGACTTAAAATGTGTTTCAAGACCCTAAGTAACACATCGTGCTCTTGCAAGTCACGATTTACCTTAGCATTAGGAGAACTTCCTTTTATTTAGTGAAAGATGGTGGGAGGTTCATGCCCATACAAAGCTTGAAAAGGAGTTATTCCATTTGAGGTCTGATACGTCATATTGTACCAGTATTCAGTCCATGCTAAGTATTGTTCCCACTTGCTTGAATCATCCCCTGCTATACAACAAATATACATCTCGAGGAACCAATTCAAAGCTTCGGTTTTCCCATCAGTTTGTGGGTGATAAACTGAAACACAACTCAGTCCCCTGCAGTTTGATTATTTCTGTCCATATTTCGCTAACAAAAATTTGATCCCTATCACTGATTATTGTTCTTCGTATTCCATGAAGTTTTAAGATCCCTTGAACCATAATGTTGGCCACATATTTTCTATGAAAATACCTCGGTAGTGCCAAAATATGTCCATATTTAGTGAGTTAATCAACCACCACCGATATAGTCTTCTACCTATTAGATTTCGACAAGCCCACAAAGAAGTCTAGAGAGACATCTTCAAATACTTGGCTGGGAATGGAAAGTGGTTGAAGAAAACCTGCTGGAGCCAAACTAGTGTGTTTTATACGTTAGCAAACTTGATATTCAGGGACAAACTAACGAACGTCTCTCCTCATGCCCTTTCAGTAGCAATTGGCAACTAATCTTTGAAATGTACAAGTAATACTAGCATGTCCCCCCATCAACGAACTGTGAAATTCTCTTAATAATAGTGATCGCAATGTCGCCTCATGAGGGACCATAATTCTTCCTTGAACCAACATCAAACCTTTGTGTTCTTCATAACTAGCATAGTCAGTCTCACCCTTTTGAATGTTATCCCAAATATGTTGAATATCAACATCTTGTCGACTTGTTGTTCGTATATCATCAATAATGCCAAATAGTGGTTGAGAGAAAGCCATGAGAGTAGCTTCGATTTCTCTAGACAATACATCAACAACATTATTAAGTTTTCCCAGTCGATAGCGGATCTCAAAATCATACCCGATTAATTTTGACAACCATCTTTGTTGTTCTGGAGTTCGTATATTATGCTGGTTCAATTCTTGCAATGAGTTTTTTATCAGTAATGATGCTGAATTTTTGCCCAACCAGATATTGCGGCCATTTCCTGCTACCTAGGTGATGGAAAACCATTTCACGGTTGTAAGTGGAAGCAACTTGCTTTTGTGGGCTAAGTTTTTGGCTAAAATATGCCAAATGTTTACCTTCTTGGGTTAAAACGGATCCTATCCCTATTCCAAAAGCATCAGTTTCGACATGAAATTCTTTTTCAAATTGTGGTAATCCCAACACTGGATCAGAACAAAGACATAATTTCAAGTTATCCATGGCGTTTTGAGCTGCTTTAGTAAATTCAAATGGTTGTTCTTTGCCAAGCAAATCAAAGATTGGCATTGCAATGGCTACAAATCCTTTAATAAATTTGCGATAATATCATGTGATGCTTAGAAAGCTCCACACATCCTTGATTGTTGTAGGTATCGGCCACGCTTTGATTGCCTCAACATTTGAAGGATCTACTAACAAACCCTCTTGAGAAACTATATGACCCAGATACTCCACTGAGATTTGTCCGAATGTACACTTGTCGTACATGGTTTAAGTGTTGCGACAAATTTTGACTATACACAAGTATGTTATCCAGAAAAATCAAAACAAATTTATATATAAATAGCCAAAAAAGATCATTCATTGTTGCCTGGATAGTGGATGACGCGTTTGTTAATCCAAATGGCATTACGAGAAATTCGTAATGTCCATCATGTGTTTGGAATGCCATTTTCGAAACATCTTCAAATTTGACTCGGATTTGATGATATCCAGCAAGCAAATCTAACTTAGAGAAGAAGTGAGCATTACCCAATTCATCAAATAGTTCATCGGCAATAGGGATCAAAAAATTATCTTCAATTGTAAATGCATTTAAAGCACGATAGTCCACACAAAACCGCCACATTCCATCCTTCTTTACGAGCAGCACTGGGGAAGAAAAAGGGTTATTACTCTTATGAATCAATTGATTTTCCAACATGTCTCAAACCTGACATTCTACTTCCTTTTTCTAAAAATAAGGATACATGTATGGCCTAACATTAACCGATTTAGTCATAGGTTATAGGTGAATAGCATGATCGGTTTCTCTCATCAGCAGTAAACTGTGTGGAGCTACAAAAACCTTCTCAAATCCAAACAATAGTTTTTCCATATCCTTTGTGTTGAGAGTGTTCTATATAGATGTTTGTACATCGCTTTGCAATAAATCACACACATCAACAGCTTTGGTGTTTGTCATACATCGTAAAGAATGCAAATATATGGATTGAGGAGCCAACCCCGTGTCCCCTTGCCAACTATGTTCCTTATCCCCTTGACGAAATTGAAAACTGAGCATTGCAAAATCCATAGTCACAGGCCCTAAAGTGGCCATCCAAGCGATGCCTAAGACCATTTCAGTACCCTTCAATGGTAGTACATACAAATCAGTTGTCAATTCAGTACCTTGAACTCGCAATTTGAGATCACGGACACAAATTTCATTTTGTAATATGTCTCAATTTCCCACAAAGACCCTAAAATTTAGCGCTACCATCACTAGTAGACCCAAATGTTTTGCTACTCAAGATTGGAAAAAGTTATGGGTACTGCCACCGTCAATCAAAATTCATACATGGCGTCCACGAACCTCCCTCATAACGCGAAGAGTATTAGGAGTTAAGCAGCCTGCAAGAACATTGAAGGAGACCAAAGATTGTTCACGTGTAGTATCACCAGGGCTTTCTACTTCATTGCTCTCATTTATCATCACCACAGTGGCTTGAACTGGTTGATCATCCTCCAGTTCATCATTCAACAAGAATAACTAAAGGGTTTTGCAATTGTGGCCTAGGACAAATTTAGCGTCACAATAATAACATAACCCTTTCTTAAATCGTGCTTAAGCTTCAGCTGCAAAAATCCGTCAAGGATGCATAGGAGTAGAAGACACTTGTAGTGTTCTAATAATAGTGGACGGATTGGTTATGCTTTAAACGTCGTTGGAAATGTTATGGGCGTAAGTAAAAGATGAGGTACTTTCATACTTGGTATGCTACCTATTGCCTTCCGTGTCTCATTAAACTTGGCCTCATAAAATCGGGCTAAAGATAGCACCTCACTCATTGAATTAGAACAATGTCCCAAGACCTTGATTTTAATATCTGGACGAAGCTCATACACAACATTGCGTAAGGAATTCATCAGAGAGGTTGGTTGTGTGTAGAGCCATATCTTCAAAGTGTGTTTGATAATCTTCCATTGTCGTGATTTGAACCAGCATGGACAACTACCCTTCTGGCGATTCGATTTCTATTACTTTAAATCGTCGTCAAATAACGCCAACTAAATGGTGTCAATCCGCCAGTTACCGTTGATGTTGCATCCAACGAAACCATTTCTTGGCAATTCCTTCCATTATAAAGGATTCCATTGTTACCCGATAATGGTCTTCAGTTCCATTAAACTCAAAGAACTCATTTAAAGATACCAACCACTCCTCTGGGACTTTCCCATTGAATGTGGGTAATTCTACTTGGACCAGTTTTGGAGAAAAATAAACTATGTTTGTAGTGTCGTACCGTGTAGAAATCATCGTCAACTAGCGCAGGACTTCCTGAAGGGTTTTTTGAGTGGAGGTGTTCCAGTTCTTATGATCATTCACATTAGTTTAAAGAGAGGTCGAGAGTTGATTGTGATGTGTACTTGTCTCTTGCAAGGATTTGATTGCTTCAGTGTTACTCACCATGATATGGAAACTTAATGAAAGCACCAAATTGTTATGATCAAACAAGAAAAGACCAGAGAATATAGA